TTAAACAACTACCCAACCACCCTCCTCTTCCCCCTATCAATCAATTAAACAACTACCCAACCACCCTCCTCTTCCCCCTATCAATCAATTAAACAACTACCCAACCACCCTCCTCTTCCCCCTATCAATCAATTAAACAACTACCCAACCACCCTCCTCTTCCCCCTATCAATCAACTAACGAACCACCCTCCTCTTCCCCCTATCAATCAATTAAACAACTACCCAACCACCCTCCTCTTCCCCCTATCAATCAACTAACGAACCACCCTCCTCTTCCCCCTATCAATCAATTAAACAACTACCCAACCACCCTCCTCTTCCCCCTATCAATCAATTAAACAACTACCCAACCACCCTCCTCTTCCCCCTATCAATCAATTAAACAACTAACCAACCACCCTCCTTTATTGTCTGATTGTGTTGTTATTTTAATGTGCAGGACGCTATCTTATATGTGGGAGATTGTCATCGAGTCATTCAGCAATGTGAACAAAATGGGACGAGGGGTGGGTAGAGAATGACGTTGATGCATTAACATAATGGTAGTAATGATGTTTATTTATTTGAATTTTCCTCCAAAGAATACTCCCGAGTTTTACGTCCGTCTCAAAGATTCCATTGAGGTAAGTCGCCATTGTTTTTTTAGATTTTACGTGTCAGTAAAGACCATAAAATCTTAAATCGTTTACAGATCGTCCAGGCGTTCTTTCATGCGGATGGGGCGGGTTTACCGTTCGACCAACTCACTGGCGGCCTTTATGAGGTGAATTGCTTATCATGTCTCTCTTACTGTCCTGTCTGTCTGTCTCTCTTACTGTCCTGTCTGTCTGTCTCTCTTGCTGTCCTGTCTGTCTGTCTTACTGTCCTGTCTGTCTGTCTTACTGTCCTGTCTGTCTGTCTTACTGTCCTGTCTGTCTGTCTTGCTGTCCTGTCTGTCTGTCTTACTGTCCTGTCTGTCTGTCTGTCTCTCTTACTGTCCTGTCTGTCTCTCTTACTGTCCTGTCTGTCTGTCTTACTGTCCTGTCTGTCTGTCTTGCTGTCCTGTCTGTCTGTCT